TCTCTCTCTCTCTCTCTCTCTCTCTCTCTCCTCCTTCCTTTCGACTCGAGATTGCGATACTCGCGTGATCAACGCGGAAGTTGAGGATACTGACAGCTCGCGTAATCGAAAATCTACGTTCACCTAAATTTCTTTCAACTGTGATAATCTGTTGTTCACTGGAAGCTTTATTTTGCATACTACATGTTACTGCTGCATTCTTCGTAATAGAATAAGCAGCGACAACTCGTGCAACTTTTGAAATATACACGCACACTGCATATTTCAGATACAGCGGATTTTTATTGTTCTTCGTACAAAGTAAGGATTTACATAGAATTTGATGGATGATTTATACAAGCAAGTAATAAATGAATTGATAAATGTATCTGTGTATCGAGAGAGAGAGAGAAAAAATTGGCCCGAGAACAAGGGAAACAGTTATTAAGTTATGTTATTAAGAAATTTAAGTTATGTTATTAAGTTATGTTATCAAGAAATTTAAGTTATGTTATTAAGAAATTTCTAAGTTTACTACATGGATTATTCGCTTCGTGAAAATTTCTACGATATATTCCACAAATTCTCGCATCGTTCAAAGATCAAACATCATCGTAGATCCGCGATTCATTCGATCGCAGTTGGAATACAGAGCTCGAACGTTGAAGGCGCATCGTCGCGTGTGGTTATACAACGTTAATTAATGCGGCGCGGCCGGAACGTAGCATGTTGTTATTGCGTTCGTTTGATCGTGTACCTGGCCATTAAAATCGCGACTCGAGTGCCTCGCGAGTGCCACTGGTGGACCTCCGAGGAATACTCTTTGCTGGAACGATGGCGAGCGGTGGCGATCGCGTTGCGCGTTAACGCGATCGGCGATCCTCTTCTTCTTTCGTCGAGCGACCAAAAACGAAAGACCTTGCGTGGAAGGAAGAAACGCTACGCATATATACGTGCGTGTATACGACAGAGACAGCGAGAGTGGAGAGCCTTAGGACGAGAAACAGGAATTCGAGATGAAAACCGCGAACGCGTGATGTCGTGAAAGAACGCCGAGGTCGGGGGAACGCACGCAACACGCACGGTTGAGGTGTTAATTTTAACACCAGGCTTTCCCCGATGGTCGCCGGTTGTCGGGCCGACCGGCTGTTTCGAAGCGACGCCACGCGTTTCACGAAACCAGTCCCGCTCGCGATGGCTCAATAAGGAAATCGTGGAATTTCGTCGGCGAATACGGACCACCACTCGGTCTCCTCGTACTCCTCTTTTCACTCACGTCCACTGCCGGACTCAAACACGAGCCTTTTGGAATCGCGTTATTGTCAGTTGGAGCACGGTGTACTCCGGGGAGAGATAGGGCCTAAGTACTGGCAGAACGAGCGCGGAGGGAGCAAAGGGTGATGCGTGCGTGCGCGACAAGTGCCGCGGCCTGCGTGAGTGCGTACCATGCACGCAGATGCGATGATGCACGCAACCAGCGAGAAACGCACGCGATGCGCTGTTAGCTCACCTTCCTTTTTAACGCGGTTCCTCGCGTTCCCTCTTCTTTCTCTCGTCGACGCGTTTATCCGTTTCCTCGAAATTCTCCTTCCTTCTCTCTTCCGCCCCTCGCCGCTCGCGTCGTTAAATTTCGACGCCAGTCGCCAACGGGGGCTCGCTGTTTCATTATCGTAATTGTGAGACGCGTGTTCCTTCACCGCCGTCTGAAGTTTAGCGCGGATCGGCGCAGACGATTGTCCGCAGATACAGTGGTAGGTATTATTTATTTACGGGATACACTTTTCAGCGTGAAGTGAAAATGCAGGAACGGGAGGAGAAGGATAGCAGGGGATATGATAGAACGCGTAATTGGTTCTCGAACCTTGTTCGTTGTACCATTCTTTTCGTTGCGGTGTATTTACACATTGAAACATATTCAGACCCGTGAGTGAAGATTATAGTCTGGAAAAGAGGGGAAATGTAATATGAAACTAGAGAAAAATAAGTGATGTAGAATTTATTTCTTTAGAATATTATATAAAGAAATATCT